GCGGCCGTCGACGACGTCCGTGAAGCAGGTGGCTCGGAGCACAGGCGGCACATCAAGGGCGAAGTCGGCCTGCGAGCAGGCGCCGCACGGAACGAATGATCTGCCAACGGACCCAGGGACCCACAGAAGCCATGGGCCACCTTGGGACCCTCGGAGAGATCGACGAAGACTGTGCCCCAGTATTCCTTGCGCACGATGTCTTATCGTGTGTGTCTACTGCCGGGTCCCCTTCGATACTTTGAAGGGCACCACCACTCGAAACCCGCTCAGGCGTACCCAAAACGACCATACCCAAAACGACCACTCTGAATACGTTCAGGCATGCTGAACAGCAGTAGTATGTAGCATGTCAACGTACACATTTTACGCACGCCCGGCGACCCCACACGCCCGCCTTACGCACGCAGGCCTAATGTTGCCTCCCGGAGTCTTGAAAGAAGCAAGGGGGCCCAAGTCTATTGCACGAGGTAGGCGGCACCCAGGCCTTTGCGGAGCTGCCGACGCGGCAAGGACTGGCGACGTAAGCATGGGGGGGGTCTTGCCTCACGACAGCCCTCGGCCTCCGCGCGTATGTCCGCGCCCGTCGAGGTAGCACGTGGGGGTGGCCGCGCGTTTCACCCCACGTTTCATCTTCATCCACCCTGACGAGGCTACCTCGCTTCTTCTGGAAGGTTCCAGAGAGCCAGCGAGAGCTGTTCTGGAGCACTCCGACCCCTGGGCGGCCGCGGTGCTGCGGCGCCAGGGAAGTGCAGCGCGGCTGGGCCTTAACCCCCAGGCATGGGCGCGGCAGCTGGCTCCAGCAGCTTCCGCGTCCGCCGTGCCGGTGCTGGCAGCGGCAGATTGAGTCGTGGACCCAGACCCCCCACGCCCGGATTGTTTCACGACGTAGACTCTACATGTCTCGACACATTCCCCTCGGCGGCGAGCCCAGGGGTGAAGTGAGAAGGGGCGGTCCTTGTCAGAAGGCTCGGAAGTCCCCTGGCCTTCTGAGAAGTTTTCTAAGCCTTCCCCGAAAACGCAGATACCTTCTCAGAAGGCGCGAGGGCTTCTGAGAAGTCCCGCCGCCTTCGGAGAAGGCCGTCTCCTTCTGGCTTCCCCCCCTCACTCGCCGCCGATTCCCAGGACTGGCTTTTCCTACAGAGTCGTTTGCTGGACGGTCCCGGAGCGCGGCCAGGGCCCCCCCAGAGTCCCAAAATGGCAAAGAGCCTCCCGTCCTGACCTCTTCGGGACGCGGGCGTGTCTCGAAGACAGGAGAGCGGAGGAGAAGGAGGAGGAGGGGGGAGGAGGAGCAGGAGGAGGAGGAGGAAGAGGAGGAGGAGGAGGAGGGAGAAGAGGAGGAGGAGGACGAGGAGGAGAAGGAGGAGGAGGAGGAAGA